CATAATTTAAACTTTTATTTGTGCATATTATGCTTAGGAATGTTTCACAATGATTGCAGTAGTATCAGTGGTGCAACTCAAGAGTATTACTTATATCTTACACACTTAATAAGAGATTAAACATTAGGTGAGATCAGTGAATCTAGTTCACGATGGTCTTGACATCACAAACACCAGTTTTATCTAATCATAGATAATTGTGTTTTTTCTTGATATAAAAACTGTGTTAAATAAAGACAGCTAACTTCAATCAAAGAAAAACTATTTTTAAAAAGTCAAGGTTCAAGAGCCCAACTAAAGCAAACACCGATCGCCATTATGGTGACTTCAAATGAAAGTACAACACCTAACATCTCAATAAGAGCTTTTGTACACATATGACAGAAATAAAGTCACACTGGTTAGTAATAAGAAGCTGGTGATGCTGTTTGTGGAGCTGTTTAATCCTCCTCTGTTGAGATCTTGATAAATTTAATGTGTTTTATTTTCAGTTGATTTCATCTTTGGCTTTGGCTGTAAGTTGTGTTTCTCTGCTCTTGTTTCTCTTTCCTTCAGTGATTCTGCTTGTTAACAGGTGCTCATCACTAATGCTCAATCCTCATTTAATTATCTCATTAACTTCATCACCGCTTCAGCGTCACTTCAACACTCTTGTTGTGTGGACACATATAAGTGCTCTTTAAAACTGAGGATTTTGCTGTGGGATTAAAGGGGTTAAATGTGTGATATGAAGAAAAACACATTGTGAAATGTATTTTTAACAGAAATATACTGTTAATTTAATTTACGGAAGCAAACTGTAAAAAACTGTAGATTACTGGCAACCACAGCTGCCGGTATTTCACTGTAAAATCAAGAAAAGAAAACAGCAAAATACTGTAAAACCTAACAGTCAACTTACTGTATTTTACCGTAAATTTAACGTTTTTTTTTTACAGTGTAAGTGAAAACCACAGGATTCTACCAAATATTTATTTAAAGTCATAAGATTAGGCTTTGAAATAATTTTTAACACGGCCATAACATTTGGTTTGAAAAAAGGTTAACAGAATAACATCTCAGATCATCTGGTCTAACTCCTCCCTCACCAACCCTTCTCTGTGAGGGTCCATCAGTTTCACATTGGGGAGTACGCCGGAGAGGACCTGCTAGGTTTTGGTTATGATTCAAATTAAACTTTTTATTTATTTATTTATTTTGTAAATCAGTCATCCATGTTTGGACATTGTTGTGCAATGTTCTATCTCTTAGCACTCTAAAAAATGTAAGGCATCATTTTCATATTTATTGTGACCTAAAACTATATTAAATGTTTATTTTATACAGCGTGTTATATATAATTACAGTTTTATTTGCTACTATCTTCATTAAAAGAAGAGAATAGTGTTGTTTTATAAGATCAATAAGCTTAAATAAATGTTGAATACATGTTTAAATGTATGAAAAATGATTTGCTTCAGTAACATGTTGCTATAATGTCATATTTTATTACCATATTATTTAAAATAGAGATAAGTCTCTCTTTAGCTCGAAATGTTTATATATGGATGCTTGTTTATATGATTTATCAGAACACAAATTTGTATAATGACGTGTATTACACTGATATAACAACGTAAATGTGTTTATGAGGATATTTCTTGAGTCCTCATAATTAAAATACTTACAAGCAATATTTTATTTAAAAAAATTTAAATATGCAGAAATTTTTGTGTGATGGGTAGGTGTACAGTTTGTACAGTACAAAATCATTACGCCTATGGAACGTCCCCAAAAACATAAACACCAACGTGTGCGCTCGCATGTGTGTGTGTGTGTGTGTCAGCACGACCGCCTCAGACTGACATTTCACTCCTATTAGTGAGAAGAGCTCAAAGCAGGATTTAATTTTCCAACTTATGTACATTTTGTAAACATTTCATTCGAAGGTATGAACGTCATTGGCCCGAGAATAAAGCATTTTTATTGTCAAATGAAACTATAGTAAATGTTTATTTTTATGAAGTATGTTATGTATAAGCACTGGTGCACTGGAGATGTTTTGACATGGCCTGACATTTGTGTTTTTCAGTATCTTAAAAATATATTAATGGCTAAAGTCTGATTATACTGTATTCAACACAAGCTGTGCTACAATAATATGTGAGCAGCATGAATGTACATGTTTGTGTTTTTGCGAAAACAACGTTTCCGCGTAGTTAGTGAAAAACTAAAATTTCCATTTAAAATGCATTTTATAAGTTCAATAAACATAAATAAAATGTTGAATAAATGATTAAAATTTATGATAAATGATTTGCTTTGCTTTAGTAACATGTTTGTTACTACGATGTGTTTTATAAGTTCAATAAACATAAATAAATGTTGAATACTTGTTTAAAATGAATGATTTACTTTAGTAACATGCTGTCATATTCTTTAAAATGGGGATAAGTCTCTTTTAGTTTGTAATTTTGATGTATGTGTGTGCTTGTTTATATGATTTATCAAAACACAAATTTGTATAATGACATGGGTATTACACTGATATAACAAGGTAAATGTGGTTTATGATGAAATTTCTTGCGTCGTCATAATTCAGATCGCTTAAAAACAGTATTTAATTAAAAATGTAAGCACAGGCAGAATGTTTGTGCAATGGTAGGTGTACAGTGTGTACAGTAAAAAAAGTAATTATGTCTATGGAGTGTCCCCTCAAACCAGATGTATAGTAATACTCAAAATGATTGACCTGAACAAAATTTACCCCAATGAACATAACAGCTTTTTACATTATAAATTATATTAAATTATGTTTATTAAAATATAAAAATTTAGAATGTTTACTGTGATGGTAGGTTTAGGTGGTGATACTGTATAAAAATAATTAATATAATGTAAATATGAATATAAAAGGTTCTAAATATAATGTAGAAACTTAAATTTTTCTGTGAAACTGCGTTGCGGCAATTTGTTTTGTGAAAAAGTTATAAATAATTAATGTGAATTTAATTGAATTGTGGCTATGGAAAGCCTTCATAAAACATGAAGATGACATGTCCGGACATGTCAAGTCAAGTCAAGTCACCTTTATTTATATAGCGCTTTTAACAATACAGATTGTGTCAAAGCAACTGAACAGCATTAATTAGGAAAATAGTGTCAATAATGCAAAATGACAATAGTAAACACAAATTTTTCAGTTAAAGACAGTTCATCATTGAATTCAGTGATGTCAACATCCAGCTCAGTTTAAATAGTATCTTTGCAATCAAGTCAACGGTATCGCTGGAAATGAAGTGTCCCCAACTAAGCAAGCCAGAGGCGACAGCGGCAAGGAACCAAAACTCCATCGGTGACAGAATGACATGTCAGGGGATCATGATAACCCTTATCGTTTGGCCTGTTAAAATATATATTTTTCCCAATCCTGGTAAAATGTATGACGTTTTTATATTTTTAGTGACGCCTAAAACTAGTGTAAATGTTTTATATCGTGTGATCACATAATTTATTTATTTATTTTCATTTAAAAGAAGAGAATAAGACTCGGGCGATTGAATGCGCATGTGTGCGTGTGTGTGTGTGTGAGAGAGAGAGAGGGAGAGAGAGATGTGAAAAAGAGAGAGAGAAGCTCTCAAAGAAAGAATTCTTCTTTCAACCTAAATTAAGCAAAATTTTTGTAAACCTCTCATTTGAAGAATGGTGATGCTTGGATGAGGAAGACTTTCTCTCGCAGAAAAATGTAAGAGGAATTTTATTTCTTTATTTATTGATTTATTTTCAATTTCATTATTCAATTCATTATTATGCTGAGAATCTTTTTAAAGGAGTCATATGATGCTACATGCACTTTTACAAGTTGTTAGAATGACTCCTAAGCGATTGAGGTGTTCTGTTGTTGGTTGTAATAATGAACATAGCAGTCGTCATTTACTCCTGACATCTGAGCCGCTGAAGATAACATAAATGCGTCTATGTTCGCGCAAATCATTCGTGACCAAGCCTCATTAAGACCCTAAAGAATCATATCAACTTGTGGAAAATGGGCATCATATGACCCCTTTAAACAGTCAACAAATTATTTGTGCAAGCACAAACACACATTGTGATATGATCTCACAATCTGTTAAAATTGTTTATTTATTCTGTTATTGACCATCACCACATCCTTCTTTTCTCACATCGCCCATACAGAGAGAGAGAGCATAACAGGCAGCAACCGGACACCTGAGCATGCGGACCCCAGATGGGTAAACCCCACGGATGTGGGAACGGACCATAAAATCTTCAAAAACGTTCCTCAGGACTTAATTTATCTCCTGTCATCATCGGACACTTACAAACATTTGTACAAACAACATATTTCCTCGCCGGAACTCAAAAGTTGATGTCAGAATTTCACGCATGCCAATTTTCACATCTGGATGTCATTATAAGGTCAGGGGTCAAACAACGTGGGTGGTCGCGACGTGGGTGGGCCGCGTGGGGGAGGGAAAAGGTCAAAATGTCAAAGCCATTAATCATTTTGTCATATGCCGTAGGGTACTTACTACTAGGGTTAGTGGAATAAACTGACATGCACTTGCAAAGTCAATTATAGTTAGTAGAATGTCTGTTGGAAGTCCATTAAAAAAAGGTAATAGCAGACATTCTACAAAAGCAAAGTTACAAAGTCGCAAATTTATGTCTAGTCAGTAGAATGCACCGTGGTACTTTTCACTGTTGTGTTCAATCACTGACCACAGATTTCTGGATTAATGTAGGCTCAAGCTCCAGTGACAGTTCTAAATGCAGGCCTCATTGACTTAAACTGAAGTCCTTTTTAAGGAAAGTCTGTTTACTAGACAGCCATTAACTCCTATCCACGTCCTATCCAACTCAAACTTTCAAAAACTGACATAAACATTCTCATAAATGTTATTTCTTGTGCTCAAACATAATTAAAAATCATATATTTCAGGTGGGTCCAGCCAGTGTGCATGTGCAGTCCTAAGCTTCAGGGTTATACAGTGGGTACGGAAAGTATTCAGACCCCCTTCAAATATGGGGTGCTGTGTGTACATTAATGAGGAAAAAAAATTAACTTAAATGATTTTAGCAAATGGCTGCAATATAACAAAGAGTGAAAAATTGAAGGGGGTCTGAATACTTTCCGTACCCACTGTATGTAAAACAGTGTTGTGACAAATGCTGTAGGGTCCTACCTTCAAATCAGGTCTCCATCAACTACAAGTTAATAGTTATACCAAGTACACACAAATGATATTGATTTTAAATATGTATATAATTGTTTACTATATACAAAACAAATTAGACTAAATATAATTTCTTTGACTTGATAAATGGTTAATTAGTAAATAAATAATAAATAACTGGACATTATTCTTTTGTAATAACTGAACTATCAGGAATTTTTACACATCATTTAATATGTATTTATATGAAATATTATTGTGAATACATTTAGGGTCAGAGCAAATGCGTGATGTATTTGCTAAGCTATCATGTTAATCATGCTATTCTAGTATGTAAGCTAACTAAAACAGATATTAATAAAGCAATAAGCCCCAAGAAGGTTTGCAGGGAATTTAGAACAGCTAACGAGCATTTTTAGACATGATGCTGAGCGTCAGCTCCAGTGATGCAATGACTTTATCAACTGGTGATTAACTCTTTTATTTAGAAGGTGGACCACCATTGTACTATTACTAGAACCACCATCGTTTCTCCCATACATAGGATGATTTTCTGTCAGAAGGCTGTACCCTTCCTTTACTAGTCCTTCTGAGGCTTGTAGGCTAGAATCCTCCTTAGCAATGAAAGCTAGAAAAAGACAGTTCAGTGAATGACAAATGTCTGTGGTTACAGACAGTTTAGCATTATGTGATTAATTTACAAAAAAAAAATAAAATAAGAAAGAAAGAAAGAAATGTGATTAGCACATTCTTTTTTATTAATTGGAGTGCTTGCAAATGATTGTGGGTTATTGGTGGACACAAAGGATACACTTGATGAATCCTTTAAATAATGCGTAATGAAGCACGCTAATCAAAGGCTGCTTTTCAAGGATCATTCAAATTGAGCTGAAGACATGGAAGCCAAGATATGCAGCCTTACTAGTATGTACATTTCCAAGTAAGAAACAACCCATAGTAATACTCTGTATTGTTCTTTTAAATAATAAGTATAATAGTGAAGAGATTCACAATTAAGGGGGGAATTATTGGTTCATTGGAGACTCACAGATGTTTGATTGCACATGCTGAGAGATGGCCTAAACGAGCATTGCAGTAGTGACAAGAGCATGGGTAAAGGCTTGTGCAACATGCTTTGATAAGATGGGATATATCGAGCAAATCTGCATGACTGGTGATATTTGCGATGCCTTTACAATACAGCTGGTCGTCAAACATATCTGTTGTGATTGTTTTGGAGTCTAGCTGTATTATAGAACATTTGATTATTAAAATGAATGTAATTTCTTTCCTCAGGCAGCAATCCCTGATGTTAAGAATGTTTCAGTAATTTATCGAACAGAGACTGAATTAACATTTGAATGGAAAGTTGAAAACAGCAATTACAGTTATATACTGGCAACAAATGGCATTGAAGTCTTTCCAATCAGTGCATCAGAAACGGATTATTTAAATCATACAGTCTCGTTTCTGTCTCCTGGGACTAACTACTCGTTCACACTCTACACTGTGTTTGAGAATTATACAAGCAAAGGATTTAACTTTTCTGATGTAACTGGTAAGTGAGTCTTTGAGGTTTAACCATATATCTTTTTTTTTCTCTAAAGAAAGCTGTAGTAATTATGCCAAATTTAATTTGTGGCTCAGTAATATCAAAATACAGAAATATTAATTCAAACATTTAATTCATCACATTACCTATCAACATGATCCATTAACAATTCACAAGCCAAAAGTGGTTGTATTGTTGACTGCTATTCAATATGTGCAGTCCTTCTTTAAAATAAATGTAACTTTACTGATATTTTTCTATAATGCAAAAACATTCAGACATTTGTAGATTTCCAAATGATTTCCGGTACAACTGTACATTAACAGGCCAGTCATTGAAGGAACACAATGGCAGATAAATTAATGTACAGGTGGATAGTAACAGGAGCTATGGAAATAAAATTTCTGTCTCTTTCTTCTTTAGTTCCATCTAATGTTGACAGTGTTTCAGTCATCAATCGGAAAGAAAATGAGATAACATTACAATGGAGTAAAGTCAACAACAGCAATGATTACGGTTATGAGCTGAAATACAAGAACAAAGAAAACTATTCAATACCTATATCACAAAATAATACAGTGGAATATAATGTCACATCTCTGGATGCTGGGACAGAATACTTCTTTACGCTCTACACTGTGTTTGGACATGTAATGAGCAGTGGATACAACTTCACCAATGTAACCAGTGAGTACATCATTTTAGTCAACCTACAGTGACACATGCTACTGATTTAGGTTGATGGTGTCACATCTGCTGTTTTGATGAAATATTTTTCCTCTTCTGTCAGAGGTCTGTCACACTTACCAATTAAGAAAGAAAGATGTGTGAAAGGCAAAACAACTGCCTCTGACATTTCTCTCCAATTTCTGTTCAAGTGCAAGAATGAGTACAGAACCACAGCTGAAATTATAACTGAATTCAGATGCAATTCACTGTATACCGCTGCTGTATGTTTTAATTGTCCTGCAAATATTTTCCCTAGCCCCACCACAAAAACTGATCAGTTTAAATAGTTTTATTATATTTGCTGGATTTTTTTTTTTTTATTAAAGTTTTTTGCATTTTTTTTCTTCACAAAATAATTTATTGTTCATTTGCAACATGATGAGAATGATAAAACTACATGTATAATTTAACTATAAATTAAAATCACAGAAACGTACATTACAAAGATAAACAAACAAACAAACAAACAAACAAATAATCAATCTTAATTGGTTTGTAGTTTTCACATCATTCTTACTGATGCTTCCAAGATCTTTTTTTTTCTTCAATTCCGACAAAACTATGTTAGCCAGCTACTAGGGCTGCAAGATAAATCGAAATTGCGATTCGACAGAAGCTGCGATTGTCATGCGTATCTTTCAATGAAGCACGGTTCTGTGATCAGCAGTAAATCTTCATCCAAAGTCCAGAGGGCGCTCTCAAGCTGAAACTCCAAATATGCCTCGCAGAAGAAACCCAGGAAATGTCTATAGCGGTTGCTGGATAAACAGAAGATTTAACTGCTTTTATTGATTCAACGTGACTAATAAACACACAATTTTGACAGTATATGGTTTATCTGAGTTATTATAATTTTCATTAAAATAAAGTATATTTATAATGCAATGCATTTATCACTGCTTAGAATAGGATGAAATATGTTGCGTGCCTTATTCTGTGCAAGAAGCCACATCATCTCACAGAAGTATTTATTTCAAACACTCGACTGACATTATGAAGTTTGGAGTAAAAATATATTATTAAATGTGGTATTTTCACATGCTTTCAGATGGAGCAGCATTTACTTCACAGAGCCGTAGTTCACTGAGAAGCTATGCAAACAGCTGTCATTATCGCGAACGATTTCTTCGATTTCATAATCACGATTTTTTTGCGTAACTTGTCAGTGATTTACTAACAAAATGCGCATGACAATCGCATTCGATTAATCGTGCAGCCCTACCAGCTACATTATCTTTGTGACAATTAGCAAAAACTGTGTAAATACACCAAGAAGTTAAAATATCTGTGAATGTAAAATTTCCCATGGCAGTGCAGCACTGGCCATGGAACTGTCACAAACTGGCAGTCGGTGCTGTAGAGTTAACAGGTCCATTATTGCACTTCCTTCTGATTATCTAATAACTACATGTAAATGACAAGCTCATTGTATAACACATATTTCACTATATCTGCATTTGTTTCAGTGCCATCTAATGTTCAAAATGTGACTGTGAAGCACAATGACACCGACATGATCTTACAATGGGATGTTGTATCAAACACAGACAACAACACTTACAACTATACTCTCGAAAACAGAGATGAACCACCAGTGAATTGCACTAATCAAACTGCAGAAGGAAATGAGGTAACATGTCATATATCAGGTTTGATGCCTGCAACAAATTACAGCTTCACTCTGTACACGGAGTTTGCTGATCTGAGAAGTACTGGATTCAACTTTTATAGCAACACGAGTAAGTAGCTCTTATTCTTTGGATTAGACTAAAAATGTATCATATAGCAAAAATGGGCAAAATGTAAGAATCAGCATGCTTTTAATTCATGTGTTGGCATTTGAATTGATTACAACACACAGGATGTTGAACTGAAATAACTGAAAGAAATGTACTGAATTGCAGTTCACAAACATTCAGCACAGAGGGTTTTCATTAGTCCAACACAAGATTTGCAACAAATAATTACAAGAACATCAATGCTAATTACTAGATATTTTTCTTCAACTGATTAAACATCATTTTAGGTTCAAAGCCATAAAAACAGATTTCAATTTAGCACACACAGCTCCACAAAATGTCGACCGTATTATTTTCATATAACTTAATATAAGGCAACTTCTTGGAAGGTAATGGGTTAAGTTTAGAATCAAATTTAAATTTGTATTACAGTTCTTCTTCTGGTTTTCCTCAGTTCAAATGAATTTTCAACTCAGTTCTGAATGGTGTACAACACTGACACATACCACATCTCAGTGATAAATTTGTGAAGAATGTGCTGCAGTATTTCTATTAATTACTAACAGTTCAGTTCTCTTCACAGCTCTATCTGACATAACTGGAGTTACAGTCACTCGGTCACAGACAGAGTTGACTATCTCATGGAATAAGTTAAACAATAATGGCATCTACAACTACACCTTGAAAAGTCAGGGAGAGGGGAGTGAGAAAAATTTCACTGGATCTGCTGTGGGTGATGTGATTACACATACTTACTCATCTCTCACACCAGGCACTGAACACAATTTTACTCTCTTTACTGTGGTGAACAATGCCTTAAGTAGAGGATACAGCTTTAAGAACATCACTAGTAAGTTTTGATAACATTATTTTAATTCAGCTACTTATTTAAAAAGCAAATGTATGAGTTTTAACTGAGTTTTGACAGCTTGCTAGTCAAAAAATACTTGCTAGGGAAGCTTGCTAGGGAAAAAAAATACTTGTGTGGTTTTAAATGCTTGAACTGCGAAAAAAAAAAAATGTTGGTAAAGTTTCATTTGTTAGCATTAGTTAAAATGAACTAACAGTGAAACATACTTTAAAATTATTTATTAATCTCAATTTGCATAATAAACAAACATATGTTTTAAATCTGAGTTGGGGCCAGATCAGGAAGTTAAAGTCTGTTTACACTTTACTGAAAGGTGCCATTGTTACAGTGTAATTATACATTTAAATATTAGTAATTAACAATATGTATTTACTATAAGGTTAGTGTAAGGACTAGGGTTTGATTTAGGGTTACTTGCATATAATTATGCATAATTTATAGTGCTGTCAAACGATTAATCGTGATTAATCGCATCCAAAATGAAAGTTTTTGTTTACATAATATGTGTGTGTACTGTGTATATTTATTATGTATATATAAATACACACACATACGGTATATAAAATATATAGAAAATATTTACATGCATTTACATATTTATATTCATATAATTTAATTTATATATAACTATATTTAATATATAAACATTTTTCTTAAATATATACATGCATCTACAGTATATACGTAATCAATATACACAGTACACACACATATATTATGTAAACAAATACTTTTATTTTGGATGTGATTAATCGCGATTAATCATTTGACAGCACAAATAATTTACTTTGGTAAATAAATGTAACGTGTAACAAGGATGCAGTAACATGTTACCTAAAGTCCTGTACCACTTATGTCAAGATTAAGACCCCAAGAGTAAGACTCCAACTCAGTTTGAAATCGGCATTCATATGTTCTTATGTTTTCTGCAGCCCTTAACTGTGCATCCTTTAACTGGAAAGTTACCAACTCATCAATAGAGGCTGAAGTGAATGGTTGCACATATGTGAAAGCTCAAAACAGCACTCGAAGTGATAAAAATGACTCTTTAAATGACAATAGGGTGAATCTGCAAGACCTGTATCCTGGAGGAAGCTACACTGTTTCACTGTTTTATGACTTGGAGTCAGAGCGGCTGCTACAATGCTCACACCGCCTGACATTAGGTGAGTTTACATGCTCTGTTTGGATTGTGCCACTGATCAGCTGATATTCAATTCAATTTTTTGTCCTTCTTTTTCTCTCTCAAACTAGTTCCAAATAGTGTATCTCATCTCCGCTGTGAATATCATTCTGGAGGGTATGGTCTGGCTGTAATTTGGGATCCTCCATATGGAGTTGTGGATGTGGTGCAGGTGGATGTTGATAGACAAAGTTTCAACAAATCACATAGTTCAGAAAAACCAATAAGACAGGAGATAAATGGCCTGCAAGCTGCCCAGTGGTACAAAGTGACAGCATCATCATTTTCTGGAGCCGTGAGGAGTCAAACAGTATCAGTCAACTGCCAAACAAATCCAGCAGGTAAAATAATGTCTACATATGTGTAATTAAAGATAGTGTCTTAAAACTTCAGCAATATTCCAAGTTAAATGCAAATTAAAGTAATAATTAATCTTAAAAATGAAAGTTCTGTCATTATTACTCAACTTCATGTTGTTTCAAACCCGTATGAATCTTGCTTCTCTCATGAGCTCTCATGGATATACCAAGGAGAGTAAGGATGGATATCAAGATGGCCTGTTCCACACACAACTGCTATCATGTGACTTCAGAAGACTTGTAATATAGCAAGTTATTTGGACATACAGCAAGTCATATGGACCTTTTTTCAGTGAAATATAGTTTTTACTCCCATCTCATGTGTGAAATCAGTCCAATAGCGACGCAAGATGCCACGAGCGGGGTGACGTGAGCAACCAGGAAGCATAAAGGCGCATCCGGCAAGCGCACATGTTAGCTTCTGCCGAAGCGAGCGCCTGCAGGGATGCAGGGAGTATGGCAGGGAGACGCAGTGTCTTGTTCCTTTCGGGGAACCATGGTTACATAAGTAACCTCGAGACGTTCCCCTTCAGGAACTCGAGCTGTGCCGAACGCTTTGGGAACGAGAATACCCACTGTGCCATACGAGCAAGTCTCTGTCTGGTGTGTATCTGGCGAGCACATCAAGACTATGTGGGCCGCTCCACATGACCGCTCCCCAACCAGTGAGGGAGGCGTCCGTCGTTAGTGTTACACGACGACAAGAAGCCCCCAGGGCCTTACAGGAACCAAGGTTTCTTCCACATTTCTAAGGCACGTAAGCATTGCAGCGTGACCTTGATTGTGTGAAGCGGGTTCCCCCTTGGCCCTGAGCCACCACTGCAAGGGTCTCATGTACAGCAGGCCAAAAGTTTTCATGTTGGACGCAGCTGCCATCAGACCCAACAGTCTCTGAAACTGTTTGACAGTGAGTAACTGGCCTTCTCTCACTTCCCTCATGGCTGTGAGAATCGCTTCGATATGAGCAGGAGACAACTGTGCCTGCATCGTTGTTGAATCCCACACCACACCCAAATAAGTGGTTCTCTGTAGTACACATTCCTTGGCGTTTAGCCATAACCCCAGCTCTTTCATATAGGCGAGGACAACATCTCGATGCCGAGCCGCCATCTGCTCTGACTGAGCTAATATCAACCAATCGTCAATGTAATTCAGTATGTGGATGCCCTGGAGTCACAACAGAGCCAGGGCAGCATGCACACACTTCGTGAAAGTGCGGGGTGAGAGTGACAGGTCAAATGGAAGAACCCGATACTGGTATGCTTCGCTCCCGAAAGCAAACCTCAGGAACTTCCTGTGTTGAGGAAGGATGGACGCGTGGAAGTATGCATCCTTGATATCTATCGTGACAAACCAGTCCTCGGACTTGATTTGGGACACAATCTGTTTGATAGTAAGCATCTTGAACCGAAATCGTTTGATAGCACGGTTCAGTAGACACAGATCTATGATCGGACGCAACCCCCCATCCTTCTTCGGAACGATGAAGTAACGGCTGTAGAACCCTGATTCTCTCTCAAGAGGAGAACGCGTTCTATGGCCTCCTCCCTCAAGAAAATTTCTACTTCTTGTTCCAATACCAGAGCCTGCTCGGGGCCCACTAGTGTAGGGATAACCCCGTTGAAGCGAGGTGGACGAGAACCAAACTGAATTCTGTAACCTCTGTCTACAGTGTGCAGGACCCATTGTGAGACATTTGGCAAGTTTTCACGCTATCAGAAACTCTACGAAGGGAACAAGTCTCTCGAGACTGGCCTCTGGTGTCACTAGAGGAGCCACTTCGGAGCCCTGAAGCGAATGACCGGCAGGGAATGACCGACCTGACTGCTCTATCTCGCTCATCTGTGGGGGCGAGCTTTCCCGTGCCGTACCGTTGCCGGGCGGCAACTGGGAAATTTGCTCACAGGAGCTTCCTGAGCCCTGAAGCACCGGGGGGAGGCAGGGGTATCAGTGAAGCAACCTGAGGGCACTGAGGAGGATCGGGCACCGTATACTGAGGTGTGTACCTCTCCTTCCCAGGGTGGGCTGCCTTTAGGGTCCTGACGATGGGATTGTCAAGACCGCTTGGACGAGGTCCTCTTGGACATAATAACGGTCCGCAGATTCGCTTTCTGTTTAGAGGACCCCGACCGAGAGTGCCGCCCCCGCTCCCTGTTCTTTCTGGGGGGGGGGAGGGGCGGGGGTACTGGTCGCAACGCTCTGCTTCTGGGTCTGGCGGTATGAGGAGCTAGACGGCTTGGCCTGCTCCCACTCAGCAGTCCCAAAGACCTGGGGACGGCGAGGGAGAAAGCGCTGGCTTCTTTGCCTCCTGAAACCTCTCGACGACAGTGTCTACTGCGCCGCCGAAGAGGCCAGAAGGCGATAGCAGGGCATCCAGGAAGAAGAATCTGTCCTTATCTTGTAGTTCGGACAGGTTCAACCACAGGTGTCGCTCCATAGCCACCAATGCTGCCAGTGATTTGCCGATGGCTCTGGTTGTTTCCTTGGTGGCCCAAAGTGACAGGTCTGTGGCCAGACACAGCTCAGCAACTACATCGGATTCCTCTTCCTCCCTATCATCCAGGTCTTTTAGCAGGTTGGCCTGGTATGCCTGCAACACCGCCATAGTGTGCAGACTAGGGATGGGCGATTTCTTATCGTTTGCGATATACCGGTAAAAATTCTCCCCACGATAAGAATTAGTCTTCCTGCGATAATAACGATAAAGTCTAGTTGTTGACATATTTCTGTGTGCGACAGTGCGGAGCGACATCACGGAAAGCGGACGTGAAATTGAGGAGGAGTAGCCTATATCGCTAAATGAGAAGCTCGAGCTCCTTTTACAATCTGTAACTGGTTTGGTCAGGGCTGTACAGTGCACAAAAAAATCGGTCTGAATAAATGTACTACAGTAGCACGTGTGCGATACAGTTTTGCATGTGTATGAGCCTGTTTACAAAACTGTTGTCCAACAAAGATATAATTTATTGACATGCTTTTTCTCCAAATTAACTGAATAACATAGTCGAGTGTTTGAAATACTTCTTTTTGTGACCAGAATGATAGTATTATATACAGTGATAAAGGCCATGTCGATTAACATTGCATTATAAATATACTTTCCTTATAAAAATACCCAAGATTGAAGAACACAGATAAACCATATATTTTGTGCAGTCGTATGTTTATTTTCCTCAAGTTTCATCAGTTAAAATGTCTTTACCTCCGTTGTGCATTTTATTCAGCGATAACTGGATAGTGTCCAGTGGATACCTTCCTGGAGCATCGTCAGTAGTATTACTTCTGCTATGGATATGTGAAGTTTCTGTGCAAGAGCGCCCTCTGGCGTCCAGTATGAATTAAACCGTCTTTACATTACGTGTGAACTCATTAACCTCTTAAGACCCGGCAAAACATTTTAGGAAAAAACTTGTATTTTTGATGTCATTACATTGTTTAGAGCATTAAAAAAAAAGTAAAAAAAAAAAAAGTTATTTAATTCATAAGTTATGCTACAATTTCTTTAAACAAAAATAAAAAGACATGAATGAACATGCATAGGCAAAAAC